ATTTGTATGAGGTAATAGTTATCGCGCAAAATTGACAGAAAGATGGCACTAAACTAAAGGATATGTATTTTTCTCTAGAGCATGCAAAATTATGTTAATTCTTATTAATAAATAATCAAAGAATTCTTTTGAATTGATAGTAACCTAGTTAAAATACATATAAAAAATTAATGGCATATCCTTTTAAGTCACAGAAAGCGATACATAGACAAGACCTCTTTCACATTAATTCGAGGGGCACAGGATTTTAAACTATACATACAGATTTTAATATATTTCATTCTAAAATATAATTATTTTGAGTGTACGGAATTAGAGTTATATTAACATCGCACAATAAAGCAACACAAAGGCTTTTGGCCACGGACCGTGTAATTTCGAACTATTATCAAGTAAAGAGGACAATACTTGAGTTGGTACACCCTCCCCCTTCCGAACTTTAACACCACGCCATCAAGAGGACTTTGAGCCACGATAGATTTAACGTGCATCGGCCCCTCAACAAGGCGAGTTTTCTGTAGCACCACAATTCGAACTCATGACACGCTAGCCCCACTTGTCCGTGAGTGACCATGAACTCTAGGCTACCGTGGCCATCCAGCAGTATCAAGAAATAGCGATTATTAGCAATGTTATAGTGAAACAGTATTGTTGTGTGACTAAATTGTGAAAGCATTATTTTGAAACTAAAGATAACACACAATGGCGTAACGCAGCGTTTGCCAACCATTTTATCGCCGTAGACTGGAGAGCATTTGATACTTTTACCGCGGCTCCCCCCGAAGAGGAAGGGGAGCCGTTGATTGTTTATATTTCAGATTGTTTTGATTTAATTGTATTTTTAAGCATGCCTTCAGAATAAAATACAGTTATGTCAAAAAATAAAAAAAAATAAAAAGTGAATTTACATAGAATATAAAGTGATTTGCATAAAAAGTCGCACAAAGCCGAGAAAAATACACCACAGAAATTAAAATGAAAATAATTGTATGTTCCTTATGCGATCCGGTACTATTTGATTCATGGGCCAGCACCGGTCCGTGGCCGGGGGGGGGGGAGATTACTGAGGTAGCGTACAGCTAGCAACCCTCGCAATAATGGGAGTGGGCCCAAAGGCTGTGTTCTTCTAAGTACAAGTACGTACCCTTTTTAAGATCTGTCTTGGAGCCCTAAACCTGACTTTACAGGGGGGCCCTGCGTTGTGCCACTGCATATACACGCAAACACCAGTAACATAACAGACTATTTTTATGCAGGAGGAAATTATATTTTTAAAAAAAAGGTGACGAAAGCGTCAAGGCGTAAAAATTAAAAATCTCGTGATCTATGGGGGGGGGGGGATTTGTACCTCCCACCTTTGTATCCAGAGGCGTACAAACCTCTCTTATGAGGGGAAGAGGGAGCTGCATTCTAAAAAACAAGTAAACGAAAGCAGCGAGGAGTAATCTGTATGGTAAAAATTAAAAATTTGTTGGTCTGTGGAAGGTTGAACCTCAACCCTCCCCCTATGCTCGCTATTGCTTGTGTACGCCACTTACAAGCACACACACATATAATTGAATCTTCACGATTTAAATATTTCTTATTCGTTTAATATTCTCTTAAGAGCTGCTTTACATATAAAAAAAATATCTCTTTCGATAATTTAACAGTATGATTAAGTCGTATTCCAAATTCAATCAATTTCTATATCCTACACAGGAAAAAAAGAAAAATATTCTGCTCGCAGTGAAAAAAAAAAGGGTTGCAGGTCAGAAATGTTTAAGAAGCCCCGATACACACACAAAGAGAAACTCATAACGGTGCAAACATGCCATGCAGCAAACTCGAATATGGATTTCAACTCTGACCCAAACCTCCACGGAACAACTTTTAAAATAATACAATTTACAGTCGTTCACGTGCCTGTGCAATAAAGCTCACGATTTTGGGGTCATCAGGTCCACCAAAACCGCACTCGGAGATGGACCCGATTCCTCCAGTCGTCAGGCATGCGTGGAACGCCAGTCTTTACTGTATTTATTCAACTAGAGATCACGTGGCATTTCTTTTTTAATGTGTGTCTGATTGAAAAGTGTCCGGGGAACGCCCCGGGTTTTCACGCGCCTCAGGTGATTTCCGGTAACAATTTGAGATTCTTTGAAAGACAGGTATGGCCACTTAATTATTTACCGTAATATTTATTTTACGGAGGCTGTCAGAAAAAAAGTATTTTGGCGGTAATTTAATGAATATTACGGTTATTTATTTACTTATTTTGAACATGAGTCGAATATCAGTGACTTATAAGTTGCTGTTCACACACATAATGAGTGGTTATATGCCACGTATTTTTCATAAAAATGACAAGCACGGTGGGATTTCTCAAAAGGCCAAACCTAGACCATGGCTTCAGGAAGCAGTAATTAGGGAGTTAATAATCAAACAAATACTCACTAAGTAAAAAAAATTTCAATTTCGGTATTCGACTTTGTATTGCATTAGTTAACACATGAAATAATCAATATTGAACACCATAAATAAATTTTTAATGCAAGGATGCAAAGTTATTCTTTTGGCTTAGGGCAGGGGTGGCGAACATTTACAGATCAACGTGCCATTTTTTCTAAAGAAGTGATTATTGAGGTATAGACGTGCCGTCAAATAATTTTGGGAAAATAATAGAACTAAATACTATCAACACAAAACTCTATTTACTACGAAAAATACCTTTTTCACAGTATAGTTATAAATGTTTTAGTTATACGTGTAATTCAAATTAAAGTAACATTAGTGTGACTGTTGTTGCAGATTGGATGACAAATAACTTATATTCGGATTGTAAGATGTTCCTTTTTGTAGAATGCATCTTGAATTTGAGTCGTCTGCCAAACGGTGTTTCTAAGCAATTAATTATTTTTACTGAGGTTCACTCTTTTTGAAAAGAGGGTTTGTGATTTGTTTCAAAATACCGTTTTACAGAAGACGTTTTGCATACCACTGTGGCGGTGGATATCTATATGAACTAGTATCAACATCACGC